TGGTGGAGGTAATGTTATAGAATGGCAATATGCGGCTGTCAGTGGAACTAGGTCACCAGTTTTACACCAGTAAAGAAATGGGATATTCTTCTATTTTTTGGGTTGGCTGTGGTTCAGAAGGTAGAGCAGGTGGTTTTATTCTTGGCTGCTCCAGTTTGCATGCCAAAGTACTGTTGGGCAACTAAACCCCAAGTTGTTCCCGACGTGTTCATTGGAGTGTGAATGTTAGGTAGAAAACACGCATAGAAAAAAAATGCTTTTATGAATGTGTGCAAATAGGTGAATGAGGCCTGTAGCAGAAAATACTTTGAGTGCTCAAGCAGAGTAGGAAGCGCCATAATTGAACTAGTTCATTTACTATTTACCATTTTAATGGTCAAGTTAATCTCAACCCAACAGAGTATATTTATTGAATTATGTTATTAAAATAAAATACAAAATTCATAAAGAGTCACAAACAAGCAGTAACTGAAGGTGGCTGCAGTAAAAGAAAGTAAAAGGAGGAAACAGCATTTGGTATCCATGGATTCAAAACTTCAGGCGATCATCGACTAAGTATAAAGAATAACCTTTTGTTTTAAATTCTGTTGTGCTTATCTATTAATTTTGAGCCTCTGAAATGGGGAAGGGTCTACAAATGTCTGTAATTTTTGAAACCCCCCTGAATCAAAGCTGAAAGTCTGCGCTTCAATCATAATATTGACTGATTTTAAAATCCACTGTGGTGGTGTACAAAGCTGACTTCATCCAGCAATTTATGGACCTAAGTGTTATTCTCCCCTGGACAAATTGGCTCTTTACTTCAGCAGAGTTTTATAACAAACAAGAGAAGACTGCAATGTGACGCTCCGGATATCACAGAGAAATAACCACAACCAAGATAAAGTAGCAAACTGTGTTGTGTGAGGAGCGAAATGCCACCAAGCAAACGGCAGTAGGTAAGCCACTACGCAGCAAACTTTTAATAAAGCTATCAGGCTCTATATATGTTGACCGAAAACACGCTGCCAGCTGTGGATACTGAGAAGAAGATATGCTCCTAATGTGAGCAAAGATGCAGTGAACACCTTTTGTCAATTGAAAGAATAGAGGGGCAGGGAGGAGATAACAAAGCAGAGCTTGGCATGAAAACTGAGCACTCTCTGCCAGCTTCTGTGCCTTTGTGTAGTTGCTCATAATGCCCCTCAAAAAAAGTCCTGGCTGGATAAGTCGCAATTTCTCTTGCAATTCTTCTTGCGTCGCAGTGTTTTTAGGCACTTTGGAGCTAGTGTGATTAACTAGTGAAACATCAGACTTTGATTGGGGTGACGGGCCGCCTGCGTACGCTTAAGAGGGAGACGAGAGGAAGAGCGAGCGAGGGAGTCTTCACTCTAAGTTAGTCGTTCTGTTGACTCCAGCCTTATTAGAGCCCCTGTTGTGAGGATGATTAGTGTTATTTACATTATCGAGCTTATTGTCAGCTGCCGTGCCGCAGCCAGGCTCTATATTTTTTTCATTAGCGAAAGCCTGACAGAGAGCCCAGAGGAAGCATTGTTCCCTTTGATGTTGTCCCGTTCTGACAGATAAACAGACTTCCACTCACACAAACGCACTCCCATGAAGCCACAGATTGCTCGGAGCCCCTCGGTGACTTCAAGCAACTAGCTTTACTTCGCCTTTGCCTTTTCGTTCTTTGTATCGCTCCCTGCTTAACTTTTGTTTGTGGTTCTCCAAGTTGGTTTTTTTTGTCATCCTCTTTCCAGTGTTTTTGCTTGTGTTCTTTTCACTTTTTCTTTTGCTCTTTAGACCACCTGCTGATCTTGACTGAGATTTGTAGCAAAACACGCTTAGCAAGGATGTGCACACGTCTTGTGCAACCTAAAAAGCTCACTGGATACATTATTTCCTTCCCTGGGAGCTCGGATATCTCCCCTCACATCAACTAATACGTTCCCCGCTATTGCTTTCCTTCTCTCTTTGTCTCTGTCTTCTCTTTGTCATAGCCTCTTCCCACTTTACCTTATTTATGTCTGAACTGATCAGCTTATTAAATGTATTCTCAGTGTGGTCTATGAAATCTTTTTTTTAAATTTATTTTTGTTGTTGTTGGAGGGACTGTATGCTTTGTGATAAGCCTGCAGATTGCTCTTGTGTTTTTGCACCACTGTTTTTAGCGCTACTGTTTTCAGAAATGACTTTGGAGCCAAATAGTCTCCATTGCTGGTAGTCTTCTCTTTGATTTTCTGTTGATGAAATGTGTGGGTTTTTCTTTTTTTGGTTAGCTGTGTTTTTTTTCTCATCTCTTTCAGGCATAGTGGCTATTGCTGTCTATATGAAAGGCTCAGATCTTTTCCTTTCTGATGCCTGAAACTTCAAGTGTTCACACACTGCGTACCAATAGATATTTTTTTGTGAAGCCATTACAAACAGCAGGTTTTTACAACCACATATGTAAAAGCTTTAAACTGATAGTAGGCCAGGCTATTGTTGTGTGTTTACTACAAATCCAGCTATATAAAATTATATTTTCATTTCATTTTCTGCACATTTTTCCCTGTTTTTCTTATTCCATTCCCGTTTTCTCTTCCACAGCCTCTCCACCAAGGATATTGAAACCCGGAGCGAATCCCTCAGCTTGTTTGAGACTTTAAAGTGTAACCCTCAGGCCTTTTACAGCCACATGACGAAGTATGTTCTTCCCACTGTGGAAGGAACCGACCTCAACCGCCTGCTCTACTACTACACCTTACTAGATGCTGCGGGCTGTGAGCCTTACGTCACCACCACCATTAAGCCAGACTCTCATGTTAAACTGCTCAAGAAGCTTCGGGCTGTTGCCAACGGTGAGGTGTACACTGTTTATGGTGATTATATAGTATATGTAGTTCATAACTGGCATTTTGATTGTTGTTCTGACAAATCCCCCAGCTAAAACGTTTTGTTACTGACATAACCACGGTTCTCTGAAAACCAAGTGGGGAATCTTATAAAGGGGAAGTGACTTCTTGCATGACCAATCACAGGAGCTCCACTAACACCATGTTGGTCTAAGACAGACCAGTCACTGTAAGGACACAGGGACCCCTGACCCACTTTAAAATACATTTTAATCTATAACAGTTAGTCAGATTTATTTAGTACTAAGCATGCCATTACTGTTTTACAACCCTGTGCCAGGAAAATGATAGATATGAAGTCCAAGCAATAAATCAGATTAATTCAAATGGAATTTATTATTATAAAACAAATAAAACAACAATGAAGTCTGGAAGCCTGCAGTATCAGCAATATTGGCAATGAAAAGATGTAGTTATGGTTTTAAAAAAATTCTTGGCTTTTATGTTTCAGGATTTAATAAAGATCATCTGGTCCTTAGCATGTTTTAAAGTTAGGCAAATACAGTTTCAGCTAAACTATAAAACATACACCACATCAACCCATGTCATTATTTAACAAAAACTAAGCCAATATACAGAAGCAGTGTGTGAGGAACTGAGTACGTCCCATGATTCCCTAGCTTGTAGAAGCACCTTAAGCAGTAATAACTTGAAGTAATCATTTTTTGTATGACTTTATTAGTATCTCACATTGTCGTGGAGGAATTTTAGCCCATTCTTCTTTACAGTGTGGCTTCAGTTCATTGAGGCTTGCAGGCACTCATTTATGGACAGCTCTCTTAAAGTCCCACCGCAGCAAGACTCCGGTTGAAATAATGGAGGTTCTGAATGTTGTTTCCCCGGGGACATTCACTGTGGCTCAAGTGAAAAAGAAAAGTTTGGACATGAAAGATGATATGAAAAAGTACTAACAGACTGCAAGAAAAAGAAGAAAGTAGGCAAAGGACAAGGAACATGTGATCCGTCAGCTCTAGAGGAGAAACTCACTGCAATGAAATATAAAGAAAGAAAAGAAAAATCCAGATTCTCCAGCTAATAGCAGGATAATGTGAATGGTGACATTTCACAATAATATAAATAATTTTTAATGAAGATAATTTAAGAAAAAAAAAAGAGATATTTTATACATATATTTTTTAACTTAAAATGTTAAAATTTACAGCCTCCCATTTAGTATTTTGCTTTCTTTACATGCAGTTTCATTTTTAATTTTTTCTTATTTAACTGTAATTTTGGCTTATTGTGTTTTGGAAAACTGTAAATAATGACCAAATATGACGACTACTACTACTAATAATGATCATAATACTACTGCTAATACTTGTAGTAATAATCATAATAATGAAAACAATGATGATAATGATGATCATGGTATTAGTAGTACTGCTAAGGGTAGTATTCATTTTAAATACTTGGTTTTAGACATCCTAAGACAGCCAGACCTTCATTTGTTTGTCTGCATGGTCAGAGACTTTCTGAGAAATCACTGAAATGTTCTTACGCGTGATTTACGTACACACTGAGCGCGAGCGAGGGTTATTATTCCACAAGCCTTGTGGTTTGTTCTGATGTAGCTTTGTAAACCAAAGCCATGTTTCCATGTTGTTTTTAGGCAGAAGAGGCTTTCTCCTGGCAACCCTTCCTAGCAAGCCTTGTTTGCCTTTTTTTTTAATTTTTTTTTTTTTTTTTAACCGTACTGCCATAAGCTTTAACATTTTACATGCTAACTGAGACCCAGGGAGTTTGAGATGTAGATCTTGGGTTCTTTCATTTTCATTGAGTATTGCACTGTCTGACCTTGGGTGAATTTGCTGAAATGTCCACCCATGGGAAGATTGGCAGCTGTGAATGCATTCGCTTTAGAATGATGAACTTCAAATTGTTTGGAAAGGGCCTTATAACTCCGATCAGCAGCAACATTTGCTTCTCTGATGATATTGCTGATGTCTTTCCTCCATGGCCTTTTGTTAACATACACCTCAATGCTCCATTACCTGTGATAGCAGTAAAGGCGTGTTTAGCTTTTCACACAATGCTTGTGCATTGTGTCTTGGTTTTTGTTAAAATGATAATGATGTGGTGCAATATATCATGTGTTTTGGTTAATCTGGTTGTTGTATTTACCTAATATAAGACCTGGTAATGAATCTAAGTAGTAAGTTATTGAAGTTGCAAATGCAAATAGCTGATGCCAGGCACAGAGAATAGAATACAAAGTGCGTCTGTGGGCCAGCATTTTTAGACGGGAGCTCCCAGGTGAGAGTGTACACGAGTTGATGACCCTCCCATGTCAGGCAATTATCCAGTCCTACAAGGAATGCTAGACTCTTTGACAGGTTGTCACTACTGAAAAAAAAAAACCCAAAACAAAATGAACCAGAAAAAAAAAATCATGGCAACATTTCTTGCTTTTAAAATTTCTGTATAATTCCACTTATTTAAAAAGCGTTTTGTGTGAAATCATGAGGGAAGTCATTTTGCATTCGGCAAACAGGGTTATACTTTAGAAAAACAGAGTGCTGCCATTTCTATTTGCAGACTAAATAATAGCCTTCTTTTACTGAAGAATGCAGTTTCTGAAGAGTGAAACGCAACAAAAAAACAAATTCATAGGGATAGTGCACCTGTTACTGGTGGGGAAAAAACACCTCTGGCCTGTGCTGTCAGGAAGTAAAAGTCCAGACTTGAAGACAATCTGTCTCGACATGACTGATGACTCACACACAGATGCTGACATTGCTTCTGGTCAGCGGTTGTCATGTGGAATTTTAAAAAAACAACAACTGACCATCTGAATAAAGCTAGTCGCTAACGTTTGACTGGGAAGAACAAATAAAACACCTCCGATGACATCCTGATAGTGCCAGTTACACATATTATCCTTTATGTCTGATTCATCTTGCCCTTTGATCTTATTCTGCTTCCTTTTTTCCCTATTAGCTCATGTAGATGTTTTCAAAGATGAAGAGTAGCAGGGTTGAACCATGCAAAACTATAACGATATGGCTGTGAAGTGAAAAAGGAAAACAATTCAGCATCAATCCTATTGATATACCAAGGGTCTGAGAGAAAGCATTGCACTCGGTCCTCTCCCAGGACATCATGTCACTGGTTCAGCGCTCCAGGCTAGAGTGCTCAAACTTTGTTGCGTACGGGTGAAGCTGGTGTCACTTCTTGGAAAAGTTCAGTAAAGGTCAGCCAGGTGTCAGCTGTGTTTTCACGCCTCACTTCCTCCTTCTGCTCCTGATAGCGCCACAGCTTTTACTGGTGACACATGTCTCTGTTTAACACACTGAACCACACATGCCCAAATCACGTACACACACAACACTGAGACATCCACATCAAGACTGGGATGCAGTTTTACATAAAGTAAGAAAAATGAAATTAACTTTAAATGCACTAACTCCCACTGCTGCTTTTCAGTTTCACTAATGCACAATTACTGCCACATCACTATATTAGCATCTCGCTGTTTTCTCCCGTTTGTGCTTCTATCGCTTATTTGCAACTCACAATGACAGCGGGTGAAGGTTTACCACTCAAAGAACTGTTTTTCTAGGCTGAAGTTAGAGATGTATAAGGAAATTGCAATCACATGTGCAGGTGGTCTGAATGGGACCTTTTATGAAGCAATCCAAATATAAGCCCAGCTCTTCACAAGGGAGACATAAACCTTGTAAACAAAGCAAGATGAGGCTCAAACTGCATCTTCTGGGCAAAAGGTTCCTCAGCAGTTGATGATCTGTGTAGAAGATGAACAGAAGACTAGTTAGTCAATAGACAGAACAATATGAACTCAAGGCAATTTTACATTGTTAAGTCTACATTTACTTTTACAGTGTTGTACAAAACTCTTGAGCCTTAATTCCTTTTTGATTACCTCCACTGAGGAGGTTATAATGAAACTTTATAGAGCTATTTAAAACTGTTTCTTACTGCCACTGGTGTACTGACAGCATAGTGTAAATGTTGTCAGTACACCAAGTAAATTGTAAATCTGATGTCAATTTGGACCTCTGGCCTCTTCTTCAAGGTCAAATAAGGTCAGATCTTCATAAAATGCCTTTTATCATTAAAACTAGTAAAAATTATAATACCTTTTTTGTAATGCCAATATTTAGGGAATGATACTATTATATTGGTATTCTAAATATCTAATATTTCTTATAGTTTGTATGCAAATATGTCACATTTGACCGTATTTTTACATTTCACATCTGCCTTTCTTTCAAGTTGACCTTACACTAAAAGTATTCAAATTAAAGCATTGTCAAGAGGAAGTTAGAAATATACTGTAGTATAATATTATATAATACCCTCAAGTTAATATTGTTATTAACAAATCAAGTCCCCTTATCTATTACCTACTCCAACATAATGTTTGTATAATCAGAGTCAATATCTGTTGCTACCCTTATCTGATTTTTACTGAACTACAAACTTCTATCAACTTTGTAGTTCTGCCTTGGTGGAGGTTTGCGCTCTGCTCCTAGAGTACTTCTTTTTTTATATTTTTCTCCCCACTAGCCAGACTTTCTTGTAATTTTTTTAAACTGCTTGTGAGCAATAGTTCTTCAGGTTTTCTGAAGGTCTTTCAGATTTATACTTTGGACACTGCCTACTATATCACTCATTTTAAGCCCAGTCCTTGTACATGAGCATTTCCAGAGGAATGCTTTTTATTTGTTTAGCCACTTAACATTGGCCTATGAAACCAGACAAGGCCTAACTGAAGGTATGAAGCAGGGTTGTGCCTACACATAATGAAAAACTTGGCAAAGAACCTATTTTAAATTGTATCTTCAATTTTGGAGAACTTGTTACTAGCAGCCTGTCACAAAAACCAGCTGGTTTCATATGCTAGATGTGGCGTGACGATGAGACACCATAGAAAATAAATAACAGTGAGTGACTTCACATGGCCACAGGCAAAATAACCGCAGGCGAGCTCAGCACAGGACCTGATAATAAACTCCCAAGCAAGTGACTGAAGCGGCTACCAATGAGATTCATGAGTACTATTGATTGAAACATGAACTGGTAGTAAGTACATTAAGAGGTTACCTAGGTAGCCGGAGCCTTGCATGTCGACCGGATGTCACCTTCAAAGTAATGTCCGATGAGTGAATTGGTTTCAGTGGACTCAACTTTAGGAAAGGGAAACTGGGAGAGAAGGTTCAAATTACACAAGAAGGCAGTCTTTGGAATGTCCTTCAAGAAGCCCGGAGAATTAATCCTAAAGACTACTTCCATAAATGACAAGAAAGCTTACTTAAAAGAGTTCAGGCTGTGTTGAATAAAGGTGGTCTTACCCAATATTGGCTTTCAAGCTCAAGAGAATTGCACAAACTCTGTTTTAGCCTTATTTACGATATTTGCATAAATTTTGCCACATTTCAATACATTTCGGCCCCTATTTCCCATTTGTCTAGTAAAATATAAAGAATCGAAAGGTGACTCAAGGCTTTTCCACAGTATTCTGTTTTTAAGAAATATTTTATACAGAATGCAGAATAACGTCTTGATTTCAGGGAAGCATGGATAGAGCTGCTAATGTTGCCCTAAACCAGCTTAAAAACACAGAAAATAAAAGAAAATGGATGCACTAGTTTTAAACAGGCAGCATAGGTGCTGACAGTTGCATAAATGCCGTTCAGCCATGGGGAGAACCAAAGTCCATGCTTTATTGCACCACATAAGCTACCAGGAGTTGCAGCATCATGAGTACTAATAGATTAATGCACACGCATATACACACTAAGCCAGATTGACTTTATATGCATGCACAAGCGCATATAGTGACTTTGTGACAATAACACTTTCACGCTAACACCTTCTGTACTGTATGTCTCGCTCTCACTCACTCATTCACACACATGCACACACATACTGTTGAAACATAACCCACGTATTCACACTTCCTGCAGCAAAACTGATACACAGGCTGTTGCCGTGTCTCTGGGGCCTCTAACTTTCTACCAACACTTTCCAACTCTTCTGACATGCTCATTCAATATGACTCATTTGCAGTCCTGAACAGACACATGCAAACTAGCCCACCCAGATGTACTTACAGAGGCTTTCAGATGAGTTGGAGACAGGTGGTGCTCATCACATTTTTAAGACACAGTACCAGGTGACCGTCTGAGCGGGCTCTAGTGGAAAGGGGAAAAGAGAGGCAATATGAGGAGTGGGTGGGGCAGGTGAAGCTGGAGGGAAAGAGTACATATGTAAGTATTTGTGGTTTACATGTCTGTCTGGGCCTGTCTGGAAGGTGTGTGCGTGTTTGTGTATGTGGGTTCAACCTGGAAAGTTTTGTGTGTGTGCGTGTATGCTTGTGATTGTGTGAATGATTTCAAGCAGCATTGACAGAACCCTCCCCACAGGCAGACCCGTGTTAAAATATTTAAAGCCCAGACAGGCCATGTAGCGTTGCTACAGTAATGCGTCTGTCTGATAGCGCTGGAGACCAAGAGCACACCACCGCCTCTCTCGCTCTCTCTCATACACACACACACACAAATGCCTACTCCGGGGGTACTGCAGTGGTAAATATGATGCACGCAGACAGTTTGACAGTCAAACTGTACATGTTTGCATGCAGGCAGAGACGGCCGGCACCCCTTTCACACGCAGGTCACACGCGATCCTTGTTGTTCACATCCGCTGTTTACTCTTTCCTGAGATGCTTTTCATCTCCTGATGCTTTTCTGTCATGTGATGGAATATTCAACGTCCTGTGCAAATCTCTCGTCTGCTTGGTTGTCACAGAAAACAGAAAGAATAGTAATACAGAAGCCATGCACTGTATGCACACTATAAAAATGGTACATTGTGTTCCCCTTCCGACACAATGCAATTTTATACTCTGCCGTGGAGAATAAACATGCTTATTGTTCATATGTAAATACTCTTTTTACAATTCCCATTATTGATCTTGATGTTGTAGCAGTAAAAGGACCTTTGTTATGCCATGTTTAAAGTACCTTGAGCTAAACATAAAGCTAATGTAAAGCTACTACAGCTTTTTGTAAGTGTTCAACATCAACCTTGCATAATTGAGACATACAAAGGAGTGTCAAAGATCCCAGTACACACGGACAAGGGAGGAGCATCCAAGTATACTTGTTCTTTTTTTGATCATATAGCTCGAGGCTTCAGTGAAGAGGCAAACACATTTTTAAGGTGAAAGTGTTGTAAACGTGTAATATGTCTTTCACGCTTGCAGGTTTGAACTATCGGAAGCTCACGGATGAATCCTCGGATCCACTGGCCACTCTTCAACCAGTGCTGACCAGTCAGAACGTGTTGTCCATCTCCAAACTTGCCAATCGTTTGCCTTTGCCCGGCAGTGGTGGGGCCACGGTGTCCGCCAGTGCAGTCCACGCAGCATGGCTGCAGAAGGTGTTCTGGAAAGGGGACCCCCAGCTGCTGAAGAGACCCCCTCAGAGCGACCAAGACTACCTACACGCTTACGACACTTGTGCCAAATACCTGGACAGGCTGGCCCCTGGCGACGCTGTCCGCTTCCTGGATAACATCACCTTCTCTCTTGATGCATCTAAAAACGTAAGCCTTAATTGGACCAAACAGAGGGGCATTTTTTTCATAGAAATTATTCTATGACGGGGGCGGGGGTCGTTTGAGCAGAAGAGGCTCTATTTTCTATTACTTTCTCAGGTAGGAGCTGTGATAGGTAGACAGTCTCTGGTTAATTGCAGCACAGAAGGTAGTTGGTTTCTGCCGCAAAGGAAGGATTCGTATTTGGTTAAAGGGAAGATTGCGGGGATTTTCACTCACTACATCAAACTGTCATTTTCCTCACTCCTCACTCATCATCGTCGTGCCGGTCTTCTCTAATGCCTGTGGCCCAATTTCTGGAATGCCAAAAGCCCTCTCCTAATTTCAAATACATTATTCTGTTCCCATCCACTTTCTGCAGCCTCAAAGCACATACCAGTCATGATTTATAAAAGAAATTATAAAATTTCACAAGGAATGTCAGCCACATAATTACAGGACTGTGAAAAATTGTCCTGCAGTAGACTTAAAGTGCCTCAGTGCACCTTATCAATAGTAGCCTGCTGTTCTTTTTTTTCTTTCGCCCTGGCACCCTGCCATCACCCTTCTCCAGACCTTCCCTTTTTTTTCTATTTTTGTCCTGTGTCCCTTCTCTTTCCCTACCACTCCAAGAGAGCTAATTGATCCCTCTTGACTTCAGAGCCAATTAAACTCCAATTCCCAGGAGGCAATGTTTTCCCTTTGTATTCTTTAACATGCAGATTACCTCTCAGGAAGACACCGTCCACTCCCTCTGCCATTACCATCCCTCTCTTCTCTTTCTTCTGTCCTCCTCGGACATGCAAAGGGAAAATCGAGTCCCTTCTCACATTTGGGAATGTTTTCGACCTTTTGACCATTGGGTGGCAATGATGAATTGATTCACCGTTGCCATCGTTGATTAATTTCCTACAAGGCCAAGGATTGAAATGCATGCAAAACTTCCCATTGGACATTTTTTTCTGAAGGGAAACAGATTATTGATCTCAGCTAACCTCTTTGGTGGATGCATCCCATCTTACTCAACTTCTAACTTCTTTTCTAACCTTACCCGAGACTCTGACTGATGTTGGCTGTGAATACCTGGATTTGATTCAGTAGGATACACACTTCATAACACATTTGTACAAATACAAACAGAACAAAGGGCGATCGTGGCTGTAACCGGAAGGTTGCCGGTTCGAGCCCCGGCTCGGACAGTCTCGGTCATTGTGTCCTTGGGCAAGACACTTCAACTGCCACCTACTGGTGATGGCCAGAGGGTCCGATGGCGCGATATGGCAGCCTTGTTTCTGTCAGTGTGCCCCAGGGCAGCTGTGGCTACAACTGTAGCTGCCTCCACCAGTGTGTGAATGTGAGAGTGACTTAATAGTGGAATTGTAAAAAGCACTTTGAGGGCCCCGAAAAGCGCTATATAAATGCAATCCATTATTATTATTATTATTATTATTATTATTATTGTTAAATAAACTCAATTTAAACGAGCGTCTTACTTGCCAGAGAAATGTTCTGACGATCTCGGTGAAGATTACTGCAAATTCAAAATGGGGTATATGTAGCACATGTTGAAAGTGTGAATGTGTGTGTGTCTTGTCGGGGTCTAAGTTTGTGCGTTTCTGTGCAAGCATAAAAACCTCCTGTAGCCCGAGGCCCACTCTTCTCCCCATGAATGGTTAACCTGCTCAGTCTGAATAAAATCAATTACTCCAGGCTGGCAGCTATGATCCCTCTCACTCAAACACACACTCCTTAAACACATGCACATGCTACTCAAGTTCCTGATAGTATTGAAATGCAGATAGATTAGGTTGTACCTACCTCTCTTTAACTCTGTCCATTTTAAATGAATTTACGAGTATAGAACTTGAGCACCTCTCTCTCTACTTCTCTTTGCTCAATTCAACGCCTCCCCAACTTCCACCTCTCTCCCATTCTCTTTCTTCCATCCATTTCATGTCCAGTTGAGCATCCAAGCGAGGTTGGAGGTGATAAAGCGAGCCACCAAAGCCCTGCGCCAGCTGGGTGAGAAGAACAGGAAGAGAGGAGGTGATGACAGTAGGGAGCAGGAAGGGACGGACCCTGCAGGAATGACTTTTGATGAGGCTCTAGCACACCTGCAGCAATCTCAGGCCCACCTGGACACTCTGAGTCATCCCTTCATTCTGTCACTCAAAGACAGCCAGGAGGTAAGCCCCATCTGCCAAACACTTGAGCCATTTTATTCTTTTTCGGAGAGTGAGATTTGCTCTTTGTGTAAATGTGCTTTTAATGATCCATTGAAAGAACACACAAAGTTTAAGAGCGATATTTGCCAGCTGGTTAATTAAATTGGGGACAGAATTATTCTTTAGCACGCAGTACAATGTATCGTGCAATCATTCTAATCCACAAACTTAAGTGGTAAATAATTACAACTATTATCCAGCCAAACCCAGTTTGTTTTCATGGGAAACACAAAGAAACACAAAGAATTTGCATAAAAAATGATGCAAAAATCAAAAACGCATGAGCTGATCTACTTTTCAAAGAAATGAGGCATGTGGCTAGTCACACAAAAATGGTTCCAAAATAAAGCTAGCTTGTTTGCGTAGATGGATTATTAATATCATTATTTATGTTTTTGTGTGTACTGTATATATAAAAGAATCATTACTGTTAAAAGAGCAAATTCTTCAGTTGCTTCTAACTTCTGCTTCTAACTGATCAGCTGATCAGCAGCATCCATGTATAAACTCAGTCAATTCAGAAGTCTTACATTCATAGTGCTGTGCAAAAGTCTTGAGCCACCTCTCATCTCTTTATATTTTGGTAAAATGGGGGAATGAGTTTAGCGATTTCTTGAAATGTGCAACCATTGATGCAAATACAGTATATAAGAAGAGTTTGTACCATTCTAACAGCCTGAAAGTCAATATTTGGTACAACCACCTTTATTCTTCAACACAGCTTGAACTCTTTCAGACAAGCTTTCTTGTAATTTATTTGAACAGAAAGCCTATTTTATGCCTGTCAAACTTTGTTATCTTTGGCATTTTTCATAGACTCAGCTAAAGAAATGAGAACAAATTATGTTTCTGCAACAGGCTGCTAGTAACGAAGTGTCTAAAAATAAGTTTTAAATGAGTTTTTTAAGCTGTCTGTTATTAGTAGACACAACAGCGTTTCATCCCTTGAGCTCGGTGTATCTCTGGCTCCTTGGAAGCAAAATCAGTGAAGAAATGCAATCCCCACAAATGCAATTGCCTATGGAACGGTAAGTTTAATAGGCCCTGAAGTGAAGAAGACATTTGACTCTCACTTCTTACTTCTTTGCCAGTTCATAAGGTCACCTTTGGCTGGACATACAAATGGTGCCTGCATATTTTATTTATTTATTTATTTATTTTTTTAGAAAGAGGGGCAATACATATTAATGAACATTTTAACAAATGTAAATATGCCAGATTATAGCCTTGGGCTAATTTCCATCTGCATATACAGTACTTGTAACGCTTGTGTCTATGTGTGGGTATGTGTGTTGTATATTTTGGGGGTGGTTCTGCTCGGCTAAGCTCTTCCCAGCCTCAGAAAGGCCAGTCAAGGGTATATTA